TGCTTCTAAGTAAAAAACTGTAACTCCAATCAGTTAAATATCCTACCAGAGTATTTAGGATACCAGATGAACACACCTGATGACTCTCGTGTTTGCTATATGTGTAAGTCTGTTTCCCTACATCAGGGCTTCTCAACCTCCGGACCGAACCCTGTGTCCCATTATAAAAAAATAATAATAATAATTAAAAAAAATACCTATACAAAACATGTCTGTGAAGTTTTTTGCTTAAAATACCAAACAGATCCCCCATCGTAGCCATGTTTCATACTGCTCAAACCCCTCTTTTGCAGCCCTGTTAGAGAAATGCGGATTTTGGGTCCGCTTGAAAAAAAAGAGGAGGCGGAGCTGCTGTGATAAAACGCCATCCTGTTCTAACATCAAAGATTATCTCTGAAACAGTATGGAGCTCAAATGCTNTTCTGATAGCAATTTTCTGTGGGTCCACCACGTCAGATCAGCAGCAAATCTTCCTCCGTACCCAAATCTTTTAAAAACGGGTGTGAAACGAGCGGATACAGATTTGCTGCTGATCTGACGTGGTGGACCCACAGAAAATTGCTATCAGAAACAATGCCTGACGTGTTTTGGACGTAATCTCGTCTTTGTTTACATTAGCAAGCCTCGCTAACACTCAAAGCTAACCTGTACTGAAGAGCACATGTGTTTAAAAAGCAGGAAATAAAACAAGGAACTCACCTTGTTATAAACCTGCAAGAGAAAAAGCATTTGAGCTCCATACTGTTTCAGAGATAATCTTTGATGTTAGAACAGGATGGCGTTTTATCACAGCAGCTCCGCCTCCTCTTTTTTAACTGATTGGAGTTACAGTTTTTTACTTAGAAGCAACAATGCAGCACACTATTGTCACTACATTCTCTGACAGACTGTGTCTCGTTCACTGGCAGGGCGTTGCCGTGGAAATGCTTTGATCTTTGAACACACCTGTCGGTCGTTAACTACATCCAGTGATAGTCTAAAGATGTTCAGAAACGATGTGGTACAAGAATCCGAAAATGTAAACAGTTCAAATAGTCAGCTAAAAGTGAGCTAAAATGTATGGATATTATTCGTTTTACCTTAACAATACAACTAATGCTATTAATACTTACTCAGCGGGGGTAATGTTAGCATCGGGACACGCACTCAAGTTTCAGTCACAGAGTCAAAATGTCTCGGAATGTTCTACTTGTTATTACTACCACTCTTCAGAAGACAATTAGGACATTTTCTATTACATATTTATAAGGATAAAGTGATGACATTTTGTACAGACATGGATTTAAACTGCAATTCCACTGGTTGGTGGAGGCATACTACTGCAATGCTGTAATCCTAGTACCGGTATATATATTATTAATTCTCCGTCTATTTAGATCTATTTTCAAAGTAATGTACCTTCCTCAGTTCAATGCTCTTTTACTCCTCAACACATGGCTTTTTCCACGGCATACATTCACTTCCACCAGCAGATGAATCATGACCATAATCCCTTCATCTTTATGCAGCCTTTACTCTTCCATTGTATATGATCGTCCACGACCCTGTCTGTAGCCCCCCTTAACAAGGCTCACTGTTTACTCTATCCACTCCCATGTAGCAATACAAGCACACACCAGTGTAATAGAACATACCAGAAGAATGAGAAATCTGACATTATATCTTCTCGTCTTCTCCCCTGAGGCACGCCCTGATCTTAACATCACACGTTTTGGCTCCGATGCACCAGTCTAGGGCATCGCTGTGCATTTCCTGGCCCCCCACAAGCAGCAGGATCTAAACTTGAAAGGTCGTCGAAACTGAAAATTCAATAACTTTTTTTTTTTTGAAAGACGGAGATAGAGGATTGGGATTGGGGTAGATAAAGTGAGGGAAGAAAGTTTGTAGAGGATAAACAGATTATATCACGCTCACTGCTCAGCTGCTTTAATGTGCATGTCACTGACTTCACTCCATTTCCATCTCGCTCTCTGTCTTACACATTTCTTTTGAAGAAAAAGTTGTAACACAAAATAATCGACAAATAGACTGCCGACATTCAGGGGAGGTCCAATGCATAATTCTGTGAGATAGATAACAAAAAACTACTTAACAGTAATGTTGTTGCTTTTTTTCTATTATTCGCTTTTCATCAGGGATAACCAGGCCTAGTTAAAAAAAGATTTTAAAAAATATCCTAATATCAAACAGTACCCTGCAAGCCATTCATATTGATCGCCCTGTAGCCAGAATTAATACAGTGTTTGTACCCAAGGGACAGGTCTAAAACATCTTAAAAGAGAAAAATCAATAAACCTATTTGGGAAAGGCAAGAACGTGTGACATGTTAGCGAATTCAATGATTTTCACAGGAGGATTTAGTCACGTCTCTGCTTCCAAGGCGTCAACTCACTCCCCTCCAAAACAAGTCTGTTCACATGTATGCATGTCAGAACAGCCATGGTTTTAACACAAAAAGGTGGTTTGGTCAATGTTAACGATCAGAAGGTGATGCCTCAGCCATCCCATAACCAGGCAAATAAAATCAATGAGAGTGTCTTCTCAAACCCAAGGCTGTCCTTCAGAGCCGTTGGAAGGACAAACCCCGGGCTTCAGTCACTGCTGATCTCTATCTGCCCGTCTGAGACTGCTGCCAACCACACACACCAGGGTGCATGCTTGGAAAGCAAACCATTACTTTTCACAATAAATAGATTATCATTTAAAGGAGCTTTGACGGACGTGAACCCTCAACAATACATCAATAATGATCACCAACCAAAGTACTTAATAAATATCACCTTAAAGAACAAAGTATACATTTATTTTAACTGACAAATGGAAAATATATTTTATTCACTAACCACGGCTCTCTCTCTCTACAACTAATCTTTACTTAAATATGAATCTTGAAATATTATTGTTCTTCTATCATGTCAGTGGAAAAATCAAAACATAATGTCACACGCAAATATTGATGACGAAGAATATTGAAAAAGTGTATTTTAATACCTAAATAAATACAAATAATGATAAATACATACCAATAAAATAAAGTCCTATCTAGGAGGCAGTGCACCTTTGACATTTACTGAATGTTGTTGAAAATCTTCCATTGTAAGCACACATTATTTTTGCACATTATCCTGAAATGTCTAAATCTCCTTCACTGATTATGAATGGTGTTTCAATTGTTGTACAATTACAGTTATTATACAAAACAAAAATGTAGTCAATATAAATCACAATTTTAGGGAAATATGTCCTTCCCTGAGCAGAAACAATCTCAACAAAACTTGAAACCCCTTGGTGTCATTTAGTCTTATTGTTTCAAAAGTTATTAGACAGCAGCACTTTCAAAAGAGCTTATCTTTTCAGACAACCAACAGGGCAATCCCAAATGAATATGGACA